TAGTTGAACCATTTTAATCTAGTCCATTATTAGCACGCCACAAAAATTGTCAACAATGACTCTTTTACAAGACAAAATATATTAAATTTATATTGGTAACAAAGTAAAACCAGTGATTTAGTTGTGTTGTGGTTAAATCAATTGCGAATGTTTCTTGTATTTATTACAACACTACTTTTTTTACATAAGTTTTGTATGAGTTGGACTTGTCAATGTGTCATTTAATGTTTAACAAAAATGGTACGTATGTTATGAAATGTTATACTTTTGGTTAAATTGTTTCTTAGAGTAATGTTTCAATTAATTGTTGAAAACGTATGATTGTCTAATGGTTAGTAATGAATGTTATACTTTTGGTTAAATTGTTTCTTAGAGTAATGTTTCAATTAATTGTTGAAAACGTATGATTGTCTAATGGTTAGTAATGACTGCCAACGCTCTTTATTTATTTATTTATTTATTTATTTATTTTTTTAATTTTCTTGTTATATTCCTATGTTATATCTTGAGGTCGAATCAGAGAACTATGTTCGGCCGGAACTATTCCTTTCTTCTACTATGCCAACATATGGGAATCGATATGTAAGATTGTAAAACATCTTTATTTATTGGGGCATATGGCAAATATATTCCCAATAATTTCTGCAATTACTTGATGTATAATCTTGATAGAAATCAAGTATAGTGGTCAAAACACATGAAAAAATATCCAATAATTAATATTAGAAGTAAATGTCCACTAATTCACAACTCATGCATTTGGATAAAATGTTGGCAATTTAATTAGATGAGTATATTTCTTGAAATTGTGGAAGTTATTGAACTAATTGTTATGTGGCTAATTAAGCACTTATTTTGCAAATTTAATGTAGATAACAATATCGGGAAATGTTATGGTTCCCGTTACGGAACCATTCCGTTGGGTTTGTAATCGTTAGATCATCATGTGGCTATTATAGGATAGTTAATCTAAAGGTTACAAACCCCAAATGGATGTTTCTGTAACGGGACCGTAACATTTCTTAACAATATCATTAGTGAAGGGGAAAAATAGGAATATATAGGCAGAAATTCTATGGTGCCACATGTGGCACCATATTATTGTGCCACAACATGATGTGGCACATTATGATTGGTGCCACACCATGATGTGTGTTAGTTGTGGCACCAATCATAATGTGCCACATCATATTGTGGCACCATAATTGGTGTCACATGTGGCACCATAATTGGTGTCACATGTGGCACCATAGAATTTCTGATAGAGCTTGAAGTTGAAACAGCTTGAATTTTTCAGGCTAAAATTTCAAACTTTAGAGTTTAGACACCAAATCTCCACAACACTTATTCTCATACTTTTGACATATATAGCAAATGCTTTCTTCACTGTTTGTTACTAAAGATTTCTCACTTACTTTCCTTGCAATTAATGCACTTCTTTATTCCTCAAAAAAAAAAAAAAAAAAAAAAAAGGCCACAAATTCTCAAGTTATTAGGAGTTATGATGGATTTATTTGGTTGAATTAAGGATAATAGAAAAAGATCCAAAAAGACCAACCAATTTAAATTGAAACAGATATAATATAACCTATTCCCAATGAAAAATTCAGACTTTTTTTTAACATTTTCTAATACGTTATGACATTTAGTTCTGTTCACATAATACGACAGATTAACATATTTAATGGTTAAGTTGTCTCATACAAGAATTTGCATCATCTCTATAATTTGTTGATTATTCCAGAAAGAAAACTATACATTAGCTAAATACAAACGGTACACGAAGATTATTTCCCTAAACACATATGTTGCTGTTAGGCGATTTAATAGTTAAACATGTCGATCCATCACAATTTTCATACGCTTTCTCAACATAAATTTTAAAAATAAAAAAGTAAAAAACATAAAAGTTATTTTCTTTATAGCATTCTCATATCTAATAAGCCTATATAATCTAGACTCACTAGGCTTTAAAACATATCACACCAAAAAAGCACCATAATTAAACTAGAATCAAACTTTTTCCCAATGATCAGATGATTGATTAATAATAATAATCTATCATTCATCAACTAAAAGCTCAAATTTTAAGTCTTAAACCCCATTCAATTCAAAATCACAGAACAACACAACAGTAATTTTCCTTAGCAAGATTCTCTTGAAAAAGAGGTGAAAACATGCAACATTTTCCTTCAACAACACACACTAAATGACTCAATCCAACAAAAAATGCTTATAAAAACAAAACAAAACAAAACCCAAATAATCATATGTTTTCACTGATTCCAAAATTTTAAATCATGTTCATATCCTTAGCCAATATCTTCCACATTATAACTGCAATCATACCCCTCTATGTGGCCATGATCATAGCCTACATATCCGTAAAACGATGGAAAATATTCACGCCCGATCAATGCTCGGGCATCAACAAGTTCGTCGCGAATTTTTCCATTCCGCTTTTGTCCTTCCAAGTCATCTCTTCAAACGACCCTTACAAAATGAACCTCAAGCTCGTGTTAGCCGATTTTTCGCAAAAGTTTATTGCTCTTTTCGTACTAACATTAGTGGCCAAAATAAGTTCCAAAGGGAGTCTTAGTTTGGTCATAACCGGACTTTCACTTTCGACTTTGCCCAACACGCTGATTTTAGGCATCCCGTTGGTTAAGGCGATGTACGGAGAACAAGCTGTTGTACTCCTGGCACAGATAGTTGTACTCCAGAGCTTAGTTTGGTACAACCTTCTTTTAGTTCTTTTCGAGGTTAATGCCATTGCCACGAACGAAACAGGTTCGAAAAAATGGAAATTTGATCAATATTCTTCTCTTATCTTCATTTTTAGTTGTTATAAAAAAAGCTTTTATATATATTTTTTTATATGGAATCCTCTGTTTTTGAAAAGTAGAGCATGGAGAAACTACTAAAAGCGAAACGAAAAGGAAAATAACGAGCGTGCTTTCGACCGTAGCGAAAAAGCTTATGAAAAATCCGAATACTTACGCCACATTAGCAGGGCTAATATGGGCATCCTTGCATTTCAGGTTTATGTTAGCATTTACATTACACATTTCAGGTTTATGTTAGCATCACATTACAAATTTCAAGTTTATGTTAGCATTACATTAACAAATCCTGCAAAATCCCGAGTCATTACACGATCAATTTCGATAATAAAGTGCAGGTTCGCAGTCAAATTGCCTAACGTGGTCGAAAATTCGACATCTCTGCTTTCGAACGGTGGGCTCGGGATGGCCATGTTCAGCTTAGGTTAGTTTCAACCTTAAAAGTTCTCAATAGAAAAAAAAAAAGTTGTTCTTATTTTCCCGAATACATTAACATTGTAAAAAGAGTTACATAACCTTAAAAAATATTTTCTCGAAAAAGGCCTCTTCATGGGCTTGCAGGCACGGCTCGTCGCATGTGGGACCCGCAAAGCAGTTCTAGCTATGGCCATCAAGTTCGTGGCCGGGCCGTTTATCATGGCCCTGCCCTCGATTGCGCTTGGGCTAAGAGGGACATTACTGAAAGTGGCAATTGTGCAGGTGAACATAACATATAAGTATTATTAAGAAACATTCAAATTTAGTTCTTCATTTTTTTTTATTTTTTTTTTTCATTTTTTCTTGTGAATAATGTGATCTTCAGGCAGCTCTGCCACAGGGGATTGTCCCTTTTGTGTTTGCCAAAGAGTATAACGTTCATCCGGAGATACTGAGCACAGGGTAAATAATAATTTTTTCAAATACTATCATACATTTCGATTTTTTTGTTCTTTTCGAAGAATCTTATAGTATAACTTGTTTTCGAAATCAAATAGTTATACGTAATAATTATTTCAAATACTAACACACAGTTCGTTTTTCCTGTTTTTTTTCGAAATCTAAATGTTTTTTGTTCGGTTATTATGTCACTAGGATTATATTCGGCTTGATTGTAGCAGTTCCAATCGGGCTAGCTTACTACTTCTTGTTGGCACTGTAAAAAGAGGGAATGCCCTTCGTCTCGACTGGGAATGCTTACTCCGAACTACGTACGAACAAAAAATAAATAATTAAATAAATAAATAAGTAGATTGGAGCTATAGCTAGCTATCAATGACTGTTGTGTTTGTATAAATGTATACTTTGTATTCATTCTTTGGCTGATTATTGTAACATGTATATATATAGCTTTCTGGTAAAGTTGATTTTAACAGTCGATAAACATGAACGAAAATCGAAAGTTGGGCCCACCTAACGCGCTCCCGTGACTTCGTACACGGGAACCTTCGCCGTGCGGCAACTGGTCTCCTTTTACAAAACCCAACTTCACTTCAAGATTTGATTTTTATCTCCGGAGGGCCACCGGGCCGGGTCGAGTCATCCCGGTCGCGGAACGAATCAGGCCTACATATATGGGCCAGCTCTCACTTGGTTCCCTCACCTTCCGATCCATATACTCTTCGGCTCGTGAATCCCGGGACCACCGAGTATCTCGATCTCCCTCCGCTTTTCGGTCGAAGATGTTTTAGGCTCGGTCCGTGTTTAACTTATGCTGCGGCCACAAACGAGTACAAAGTTGTGCAAGTCCAATTCTCGAGAGGGGAAAATGGCTCGGTTTCGTATGAGTACGTCGTGTTGACTGTCGAGACCAACAACTCGTGGAGGCATGTGGGCATGGTTGACCGTCTAACTCGTGAGACGAAGACTTTGCTTTCGATTAGTAGCCCATTGATAACCGAGGGTTTCACGCATTGGGTTCCGTATAGTGGTGGGGATACGATTTTGACACTTGATGCGAAAACCGAGGTTATGACCGAGTCACGAGTTCCCGTGCCTTTAGGTCATTTGGGGGAGAGCGAGTTTTTATTGTGGGGAGGGAAGAATTTGATGCTTGTGGTAAAAAGGCTCGGGAGTTTTTTTGTCGTGGGACGTGTGGGAGATGAGTCCCGAGACGCGGGTTTGGAGCAAGACAGTTATGGTCGATTTGGAGGGGGAGAGGTTAGAAGGGTTTATTCGGGCCCGTGATGAAAAGGTGGTTTTCAATCCAAATGGTGTTCGCGTTTTTCCGGTCGGTTGGATAAATTATCCGGAGGTTTTGGTCTTTGCTCCCGGTAAAGGTCGATATTGCATCTTGTATTGTGCTCGTACGCATGAGATTGAGTCGATTGATCTGCCTAAGGCTGCTGCAAGCTATAAGTATAGGGCTCATCACAGTAGATTGGTGTCACCCACAGGAATTTGATGGATATATTGAGGTTGTTTTTCTTGTTTAGAAGTCCTTTGTGTTTTCTGCAGTAAAAGCTATTGTTTCTTGGTAGTCAATCTCAAGATGATACCAAGTAAAATGACTAATTTGGGATATAAAGCTCGTTTATAGAAGTTGATTTACAGTTAATGGTGTTTCTTCTATTATTAATATATCATTTGTATGAAAAAAGTAATGAAACTTTAAGTAGCCATTGTATTGTGTAATGAAACTGCTCACCTGCCCACCGTGGGCAGTGCCCACTTTTTTGTCTTATATGAAAAACGTATTCTGAGAATACGTTTTTCAATTAAATTTAATTGAAAAACGTATTCTCAGAATACGTTTTTCATATAAGACAAAAAAGTGGGCACTGCCCACGGTGGGCAGGTGAGCGGGACTGTGTATTGTAAATGAAAGCATAATATTTTTCTACATTTAGATATTTAATAAGTTCATAAGATCCCTATAAATATTAATAACATTATTTTAAAGTTTTTTTCTTTTTTCTTTTTTAACATAATAACTATGGTTGATTAGATTATATTTGTTATTAATTTACTAATTTTGAAAGTCTTTAGATTTCCCTTCAATTTAGCATAGTTTTTAAACCCGGCCCGGGCAGGTCTCCGAGTTATCAGGTCACCGGTTCAACCGTCGGGTCACTGGGTCAATTGCTGAACCGGATAATTAATTTTAAAATTATATATAGAGTATTTTTATCATATAAATATACATAAGAGTAACAAAATTAAATGTTTTGTGTATAAAATGTATACATTAAAGTATTAATAATATGTATCTCATGATAATATTTCCATATAAATATATATACATAGTTTTAATTTGAAAAAAACAAAAAAAAAATAAAAAAAAAAATAAAAAAATATATATCAGCCGGGTCAAGACAGGGTTGGCCGGGTCCTTTGTTGCTCGGTTCAAATAGCCCACCCGGACCGATTGTGGCTCCGGATCGACCAGGGACCCGGTCGACCCGCCGGGCCAGTCCGGGTTAAAAAACTATGCAATTTAGCTATCCATCAAATTTAAATATATTATATTTTTTATTTTCGAAAATCATAAACTTTTTACTTAAAACATTGAGTTTTATAAATAATGTAAGCAAATAAGACACGAAAAAAAAAATTAAACTATTTATAAACAACTTTAAACAGTACATAAATATTTTTTTATGGATATAATATGAATTTTATATTTGTGGGAGAGCCCTAATGTGCTGATTCTCACATTGAGAAACGGACTCATGAAGACAAATCCTCGATAATGTTTTTGTTGCTCATGAATGTATTCATTTCATTAAAATTTGTCGAGGGAGGAAAGAAGCTTTCATGGCCATTAAACAGAATATGACAAAGGCCTTTGTTCGAGTAGAATGGTGTTTTATGTCTGCTATTATTAGAAAAATGGAATTTTGCCAACTTTTTATCAACTGGATCATGTCTTGTGTTAGCTCCACTTCTTACTCTTTTTTAGTGGATGATTCTCCAGCTGGTTTCCTTAAACCCTCTAGGGGTATTCGACAAGGAGATCCGCTATCTCCTTACCTTTTTTTGATCCTTTCTGAAACTCCTTCTAATCTTACCAAAAGAGCCAGTTTTGAGGGTAGTTCTCTTGGACTTAAAATCTGTAGATCTGCTCCCCCTGTCACCCATCTTCTTTTTGCTGACGATGCTATTATTTTTTGTAAAGCCAATCCTGGCCATGCCCTAGTTCTCAAATCTCTTTTGGACTCCTATTGTGCTAATTCTGACCAGTTAGTTAATTTTGATAAATCTTCTTGTTTTGTCAGCAGTAATGTTTTTGATAATATTAAAGTAACTACTTGTAGGATTCTAGGTGGGATTAGTATTATGCAAAGCTCTAGATATCTTGGCCTTCCTATGATAACTAGTAGATATCCTGTGCACATGCATAGATGTACATAAAATATTAGTAAGTAATATTTGAGAATTTAATATTAAATTCTCAAAAAATTGATTATTAGGAAAAATAAATTAACGATTTTATTATTATGAAAAATTGTTTATTATCATTAGATAATAACAGATTGATTATTATTATTATTATTATTATTATTATTATTATTATTATTATTATTATTATTATTATTATTATTATTAAAACAATTGTTTTATAAGCTTTAAAGTTGTTTGACTATGCTATTAAAACAATTTAATAACTGTTTTTAAAGAAATTCTTTCATGAGATACAAAAGAAAAAGAAAATATTGATGTTAATATAAATAACTTGAAACAATTGTTTGTAATTATGTAATTTATATTTATTGTGAATTATTATTAGTTGGTATTAGCAATAATTATTATATAATATAATAGAAAAATACATGAGCACACTTAATATGATGTGTTAATGTGAGAAGTAAAAAAATATTAACGATAAATTTTGTAACTGAAAATAGAGGAAAATTTGTAGAGGTGTTATTAAATAGGTAAAATTAAATACTAAGCTAGCAAATATATATATATATATATATTATTATTAAACAATTATTTATAAGATTCTAAAGTTGTTTAAATATGCTATTAAAACAATTTACTAATTGTTTTTAAAGAATTTTTTTTTTATGAGATACAAAAGAAAAAGATAATATTGATGTTAAAATACATAACTTGAAACAATTGTTTATTTATGTAATTTATATTTATTGTGAATTATTAATAGTTGGTATTAGCAATAATTATTATATAATATAATAGAAACATACATGATTACATTCATTAAGATGTATTAATGTGAGAAGTAAAAATATTAATGACAATTTTTGTAACCGAAAATGGGGGGAAAATTTTAGAGATTTTATTAAATATTTTATTAAATGCTACATGCCAACAATTATATATATATAGATAGGTAGATCCAAGAAAGATGTTTTTGGGTATGTTCGTAATGCTGTTGAAAGTAGGATTTTGAACTGGAAGAATACCTTTCTTAGTCCTGTTGGAAAGGAAATTTTGATTCACTCGGTCATTAATGCTCTCCCGGTTTATATTATGTCTTGTTTCTTGATCTCTAAAGGAGTTCTTAAGCAAATAGGTAGCACATCTTCAAATTTCTGGTGGGGGTGTAATGCTGAAGGGAGAAACAAAATCATTGGACAAGGTGGGATTTAATGTCCCTCCCTAAAGATGAAGGTGGCATGGGTTTCAAGAACCTTCAAGCTGTCAACATGGCTCTTCTCTCCAAGCAACTATGGAGGCTATACACTAATCCTCACAGCGTGTGCAGCGAATTAATCAGAGCTAGATACATGAAGAAAGGTCTTTGGGAAAAACTTGAAGTAAAGAACAACAACTCCTGGTTATGGCGAAGTTGGGTGGCAGCCGGTAAAATTTTTAGTGCAGGTATGAGGAAGAAGATTGGAGATGAAAGAACCACAAGAATATGGAGTGAACTCTGGCTTTTCTCTTCCTCAAATTCCAGACTAACAGGTGCATATTGTGACCATCACAACCTAGAATGGGTTTACCAACTTTTTGATGAGAGCGGCCAAAGATGGAATGCTAGCCTAATCAGGAACATATTTGTGGAGCAGGATGCCAAGGCCATACTCAGCATACCTCTTCGGAACTTACAACAACCAGATAAGTTGATTTGGATTTTTAATTCCAATGGTGATTTGCTTATACAAACTCTCTTAGATTGCTTCAAAATCACTTTGACACTCCTGAGAGTAGCTCAAGTAAGAAACAATTGAAGCGAATGTGGAAGGTGACCTGGGCTTTAAAAATTAAACACAAACTGAAACATTTCTTATGGAGAGTTCTTCACAATGCCATCCCTTCATCAAAAAATTTATGGCTGAGGAAATCTCAACCGCATCAGTGTTGTGGACTATGTGGCGAAGATTCTGAATCATTGGAACATATTTTCTTTTATTGTGAGAGGGCTTACTTGGTATGGAAATTGGTGCCGGTTTCATGGGATTGTTGTAATGTTGTTGAGTTCGGATTCAAAAGGTTGGTGGAGCAGGATATGTGAAGGCAAAGCTTCCAAAATTTTTGTTCAAAGACAACAATTAACAGTATATTTGTTGTGGTGACTTTGGAAAGGTCGTAACTTATGGCTCTTTGAAAAAAAGTGGCTATCGGCCAAGGAGTTAGTTGATTGAGCTATTGGAGACTGGATATAGTTTGATTCCTTCTCTTAGTTTTTGTTCTATGTTCTACTTTATTTTCCTTACTTTTTGCATGGGTTTACAGTAACATTGCCTAGGGACTTGTTGTAAGCTTCCAGTAGGCATGTTTATGTAGTTTTTGGGGATTTCTGATTTTAGTTGTTTAGAATTCCTATGTATTTTCTTGACTGTTAGGTTTTGAGATGTTTTTTTGTTGGTTTTTTGGGTTATTTCTGTCCAGTAATTTTTTTTCCTACACCTTGGTAGTTGTTTGTAAATCCAAGGTATTTTATTACTTCTTCTAGTTACAAGTTTTTGATTTTTGGACTATGTACTCTTTTCATTTGGTTCAATATAATGTAAACGTTTCTGAAAAAAAAAAAAAAAAAACGGACCCAATAAAAAAATTAGGGTAAATTGCAGTTTTGATACCCAAACTAAAGTCCATTTCGGAATCAGTACCCGTTTTTTAATATTTGTAAAATCGTTACCTAAACTTTTACTCCATCAGCAACGTTAGTACCCTGCCGTTAGATTTCCGTCAAAATCCCGTTAGTTGTTAACGGCTGGGTACTAACGTTGCTAACAAAATGAAAGTTTGGGTACTACTTTTAAAATGGTCATTACTTTAGGTATCAAATTGAAATTTACCCTCTTTCTTATAAATAGTCGAAAGAGCTTTATTGTTGAAAATAAATGGTACATATCCCTTATATATATAAGTTTTATCAGACGCCAAAAGAGCAGACAAAATCCCTCCATTTTGACCACTTCCGTTAAAACTAATGGGAATTTGACGGGCATCTAACGGTCGGGTACTAACGTTGCTAACTGAATGAAAGTATGGTACTGATTTTGTAAATGTTAAAAAACGGATACATTCCGAAATCAACTTTAGTTTGGGTATCAAAAGTGCAATTTACCCAAAAAATTACTTCTAAACTTCACAAATTACAAATCCCTAACCTCTGCACTTCAATTCCTCTCATATTTTCATGTCTGTTTAGATCTTATGCAAAATGGAAGCCGAGAGCGACCAGGAGTCCGCCGTCGCCACCAATTCGCCGGCCGGAGTTGTAAGCAAACTATCTGTGATGATTTTTACAGACCTTAGTTATTTTCATTCTTCACCGCGGTTTGAACTTTCACTCATTTTATTTACTGTTTAAGCTCCATATATACACGTTGCTTACATTTCTCTTTGGCGCTGTTTTGGAAGGGTAAAATTGGGGACTTTTCCGCCTTTTTTCCCCAAATTTGTGTTTTAGATGTGCCGGGGAAGATCTGTTTTAAATATAGCTGTTTATTCGTTTATGGTACTCCATGTTTATTTATAGTTTTCCGGCGAGTCGTGGTGGCCGGGGAAAATCGGAAACTTCGCTGTTATATTGCCGGCGGCTAGGAAAACCATGGATTCCTCGAGAAGAAATGGCTTTCGATTCATATATTTTTCATAAAAATCCAAACGAGCGCAGTTTACCTTGAAAAACTTAAAGAAGATTTGAGGAGAAATATTCGAAGTTTCAACTTATTCAATGTTAGTCCCAACTTTTCAAAAACTAAGTATTTTTGGTTCAAAACCTTTCCCCTCCTCGGAGGCGGATTTCAAAAAATCATATACCATTTAGAAGCTATTGACTCGACCTATCCGACGGTACCTTCAATTTCATCACGCATACCTTGGAGTTCGTCAAATCTTCTTTAAATTTTTCAAGCTAAACTGCGCTCGTTTGGATTTTTATGAAAAATATATAAATAGAAAGCTCTTTCTTGGGCAATGCTATATGTACAATTATAGTTGACAATATTAGTTGACAACAGTGGTTAAAGATTTCATTGAATCAAATCTTAGCTATACACTTATTTGCATCTCAATCATCCACATCATGCCACATAGATGCCACATATGAAATGTTGAACAAAAAAATTGTACAAGTAGCTTTTTCCGAAACAGAATAGTATATTGACGAACTGAAATATGTTGTTCTTTTAACATTAAAAAAGTTTAGACAGATTCCTAACAAAAGATTGTATCTATTTTGCTACATAGATGGCGAGCTGCAATCGTACTCCGATAAGTTATTTCCGGCGGAGGTTTCGGTTTCGGTTTCGGTTGACAAACACAGAGTCCCTTTCCGAAGATTTGCTATTCAACATTCTCATTCGCCTCCCGGCTCAAGATATCCATGACTCTGCAAGGCTCGTTTGCCACAGGTGGGCCCACCTAACCCGCTCCCGTGACTTCATACGCACGCACCTTCGTCGTGCCCGCACTGGGCTCCTTATACAAAACACAACTTTTCTTAAAGATTTGATTTTTATCTCCTGTGGGCCAACGGGCCGGGTCGAGCTATCCCGGTCGCGCCACGAATTGGGCCTGCGTATATTGGCCAGCTCTCACGGCTTGGTTTTGGTGCTCTCACCTTCCGGTCCCTGTACTCTCCGCATCGTGAATCCTGGGACAACCGAATATCTCGATCTCCCTCCGTTTTTGGGTCGAAGATATTTTAGGCACGGTTCTTGTTTGAGTAATGTGGCGGCCACTAACGAATACAAAGTGGTGCAAGCCCAATTCGCGAGAGGCTTACGTGGCGAGGTTTCATACGAGTACGCCGTGTTGACTGTCGGGACCGACACCTCGTGGAGGCACATGGGCAAGGTTGACCGTCTAACTCGTGAGACGAACACTTCGTTGTTGATTAGTAACCCGTTGATAACCGAGGGTTTCGTGCATTGGGTCCTGTATAGTGGCGGGTCGACTATTTTCACGCTTGATGCGAAAACCGAGGTTATGACCGAGTCGAGGGTTCCCGTGACTTTAGGTCGTTTGGTGGAGAGTGAGTATTTAGTGTCGGGAGGGAAGAATTTGACGCTTGTGGTCAAAAAGCTCGGGAGTTTTTTCTCGTGGGACGTGTGGGAGATGAGTCCCGAGACGCAGGTTTGGAGGAAGACGATTATTGTCTATTTGGAGGAGGAGAGGTTAAAAGGGATTATTCGGGACCGTGATAAAAAGGTGGTTTTCGATGGGAATGGTGTTTGGGTTACTCCGGTCGGTTGGCTAAATTTTCCCGAGGTTTTGGTGTTTGCTCCGGGTAAAGGTCGATATTGCATCTTGTACCGTGTTCGTACGCGTGAGATTGAGTCGATTGATCTGCCTAAGGATGCTGCAAGCTATAATTATAAGTTCCATCACAGTGGATTGGTGTCACCCACAGGAATTTGATGGATATATCGAGGCTGTGTTTCTTGTTTAGAAGTCTTTTTTTTTATTATTATTATGTTTTACTTTCTGCAGTAAAAGGTACTGTTTCTTGGTAGTCTGAGAAACATGGATATGAAAAACTGAAAGGAAGTCGAATTTGAATGGAAGTTATTTTGAAGGAAAAAAGGGGTTGATTTGTTTTCCAAAGGAAGTCAAATTTGAATGAAAGATAATAATAATATTAATGAAAATAATTTGATTAAAGGTAAAACTAGAAATGATAATTGGGCAAACAATTTCTATAATAATGATAGTTTTAATATTTTTTTTTTAACTAGTTAAATGGTTATAATCATTAAAAATTATATTATTCTTTATATTTTGTGCAATTTATATATCAGTTCATATAAAAGTAAAATAATTTTTAATTATATTGTTTCTTTTTATTAATGACCAAATTTATAAAATATAATAATATATCCATTGTCTAACTTATAATTTTACAAAAAAAAAAAAAAAAAA